AAGAGAAGGTTATTTGGTACTTATCAAAAAAATAAAAAATAAAAAATAAAAAATAAAAAATAAAGAGAAGCTTATTTGGTTACCGTCTTGTAAAAATGAACCAAACAAACCCAAATGTTCTTTAAAAAAACTTTATTTATAGATATATTGGCATGTTTAGTCTTGATCGAAATTTTTTTTCCCTCTCTTTTAATTCAGGTGATCATCCTAAAGATGTCAAAGTAAGGCTCAAATCCTTAAAGAAGTGTTCTCGTTGTCGAAATTTGGAAAACAAATTCTAAGCTCACGGACTTAACCATCACGATACACTAACTCTATCTAATTATTCAAGATATGAAGTGTCGTCGTTGTCTTCTGCACATTACACAGGCGCACGTTTTCAAGATATGTAAACACTGCACAGGCGCACAATTTATTTTTTAGACATTGCACATACGCACAATTGTGGGTGATAATTGTTTTATTTTTTAAATTAGTTGTTTTATGCGCAGTGAGGACGCACTATTATTTTTTACTAAATTATGCTTTTTAGGAATTTAGGATGGTTTAAATTGCAAAGTAAAATAAGGACGTTGGTACAATGTTATATGATGGTCAAGCTAAAAAGAAATATTTACACATTTTTTTTATTTAAAAAATAACGTGCCTTCTGCGGCTTCCGTCTCTAATGTTGACGTTTCAGTTCATGATAACCAACGTCCTCTAAAATCTCCAAAATTTGGACGTACAAAAGTTTACCCTACATTTTTAGAATATGATCTAGGATTATGTCGTCAAATATGGGATTATCTTGTTGACAAATGTGATGAAGTTCGACCAGCTTATATCAAATCGAAATGATACCAAATTTGCTTTTAGAATATCTACTTTTTGAATTGGGAAAGCATCCTCGTCAGTTTCAATCATCCTGGTTTAAATTATTTCCTTCCTGGTTAGAGTATTCTCCTTCAAAAGATGCTGCATTTTGCTTACCTTGCTTTCTTTTTGGAGCAAAACCAACAAGGCGTCCCGGAACCAATGTTGTGGCGATCTTGTGGGGGGGTGTGTGTGAGCATGTGTAGGTGACATTAGTAGGCTACCACACTAGGCGAGTTACAGGTGCACAATTTCACATATCTTGGATATGGATGGGGCAAGTGTTATATGTAGATTCAATACCCTTCTATGACACAACACGTTTTAAAGCCGTGATGGCCATGAACCTATCAGAACTCTAGAGTTTAGCGTGCTTAACCTAGAGTAGTACCAAGATGGGTGACACCCTAGGAAGTCTCTGGTCTAGGGAAGCCAAAAGTGGACAATATTGTGTCTGGCTAGGGTGAGGGTTGTTACAAATGGAATCAGAGCCTAACCCAGCTAGTTGGAATTGTGGCCAATGAGGACGTTGGGCCCCGGGGGGTGATTGTAGTGACCTTGTGAGCGAGTGTGTGTGGGACCAGTAGGCTACCTCACTGGACGAGCTACAAGTGCATAATCCCACATCGCTTGGGTGTGGATGGTGCAAGTGCTATATGTAGATTCAACACCCTTCTATGACACAACGTGTTTTAAGGCCGTGGTGGTCGTGAACCTACCAGAACTCCAGATTAAAGCGTATTTAACCTGGAATAGTACCAGGATGGGTGACCCCCTAGGAAGTCTCTGGTATGGGGGAACCAAAGGCGGACAATAGTGTGTCTGGCAAGGGTGAGAGTTGTTACAAATGCATTCACTAGTGAAGGATTTCGAAGTTGGAAGAAAACTAATGATGGCAATAGGTGTACTTTCTTAAATTATGTGGGAGGATGTCCTTATCCTTCTCGTAACATTGTTGAGAGATATTGTAAGGACTTAATGAATCTACCTTGTCATATTGATAGAGTGATGGAAAGACAAACTTCCGAATAAGATTCAAATAATCGATTGAGATTGAAGGTCACAATTGATGCGGTCCGATGACTTAGTTTCCAAGCTTGTGCTTTTAGAGAACACGATGAATCCCTTCAATAAAGTAGTAGGGGAAATTTCATTAAAATGATACAAGCTTACGCGTCGTATAATGATGATGTCACTAAAATTGTTCTTAAAAATGCTCCAAAGAATGCTAAGTATACCTTACCACAAATTCAAAAGGAGATTTTGCATATTCTTTCTAGAAAAGTGAGAAGTAAGATTCGTGAAGATATCAGAGATGCCAAGTTTTGTATTCTTGTTACTTAAAAAAAAAAAAAAAAGTTTTGAATTCTTGTTGATGAAGCACGTGATGAATCTAAGAGAAAGTAAATCGGTCTCATTTTAAAAAACGTTGAAAAAGATGGTTTTTTTTTTTTTTTTTTTTTTTACAAGAATGTTTTTTGATCTTGTGCATGTTAAACATATAACTTCATTGACTTTAAAGGAGCTTTGTGTGGTTCTTTTTCACTATAATCTTGATGTTCACAATCTCCGAGGTCAAGGTTATGATGGTGCTAGCAATATGCTTGGTGAATGGAATGGTTTGCAAGCATTATTTATTAATGATTGACATTGTGCATATTATGTGCATCGCTTAGCTCATCGACTACAACTAGCATTAGTTGCCGCATCTAGAGAATTAATCCTTGTCCATCAATTTTTTTCAAAGTTGAACTTCATTACCAATATCATAGGAGCTTCTTGCAAACGAAATGATGAATTGTTGTGGGTTTTGACCCACCATTGTTATATTTCTCAGGTCCTTGTCAGTAGCAGTGTTAGCAGTTGTTCGTTTAGATTAGAGACTTTGCATCATCACACTTCCGATGTCATCGACGTAGGATTCTATCTTTGGATTAGTGATCTGAACCTGAAATATTTATAGAAATGTCACTGAATTGATCCTTGTTGTTGTGTTCATCATGGAATCCATTTGCTGTCATATTTTGCTGGTGCAAGGCCTGGTTTGAAGGTTCACTTTGAGCCTAAGGTTGTTGTTGTGCTAGTCAAGGTTTAGACGAGTATATTTGAGCTATTTACATTTGTTGAACACTTGTTCTTGAGCCATACTATGCTGCAAATGATTTTCACTTATCATACTTGTGATTTGAGCTGTTTCCTGGTTTAGCCTTGTGATTCATATGTAGATTGTTTAGCCTTGTGATTCATATGTAGATTATTTATATCTTGCTATACAATGTTTGATCTATATGCTAGCAAGTTTGTATTGATCAATCAAAGCTGTTAAAGTTAGTTTTGGACAGAACTCTGGTCACATTTGGTTTTGACCTACCAAAACCCTAGTTCTTCATTGTGTAATTGCTGACAAGGACCAATTGATGTTGTATTATGATTCACATGCTATACTTATCTTGTTTATCATCTGAGCATGTTTGTAATAGTGGTATAAGGCTGTGTGATTGATCTCAAAATTTTGGGGATACGAATTTGCAATTCTACCCCTAAACCCTAGTTTCAGTAGAAGGTGAACGTGAGACTACAGATTGTTGTTTTGAGCTACACAACCACTCTTATCTTTTGTGTATGCTTGAATATTGTTAATATTCATTCTTTTATATGTATTTGGTGAGCTGTGAGAGTTTGCACGGTCTAAGCAAGGGTGCTTAGGATAGGGGGAGTGCTTCTGAGGACTGTGTTGAGCTAATATATGTATAGAGGCTGTGAAAGCTAGTATTTCAACTTGTACAAGAGCGTGTGTGTAGAGTGTGAGACAAATGAGCATGTAACTACTTACATATAACTAGTGAAGTTTAAATTAACTGAGGTCAAGAACCAAAGTTTTTCATTAATTGAGAGGGTTTCGTTGTATATCTTATGTTCATTAAAAAGAGGATGAACAGATTTCAAAGGATGATTTTTCCCATGTACCATCGCTTCAACTCCCAAAGTTGGACTGATCTTCCTTCCCTTATTCCTCTCTTTTTGTATTCCTCACATTGTACAGTTATATTACCCTATATATATATATATATATCCGATTTGACCCAGATAACATATACTTACAATCTTAAAATTGTGACTAGTTTTTATTCTTAGTTCAATTACGAGTGCATATAAGCTCCTTTCAGATTCACGCATGTACTAGTCAAAATCTAAAAAGTATTTTTTGTTACCAAACACAACTAATAGTGAAAATTCAAATTAAGTGCTCTTAGCCTGTCCAACAGTAATACCAAATCGACACTTATTAGTTGCCTAAAAAGTTCCCACATTAAACTCAGACAGACTTGCCCTTCACATCTGGTGCAGTGATGACTGATTTCAGCCAACGAGACAAATTAATCAAAAATGGCGTGTAGGCGAAATAGCAGGTAATTGTCCAAGTAATTAATCCCTGCATCCAACAACAACTTTTAAAATTTTTTTTCTCGGGAAACAACAAATGGTTTTAACTAATGTTTCTTCTTACTTGTCCCAGAAAAAAAATAATAATAAAAAATAATAATAATAATAATAATAATAAGGGTTAAATTCATTTACACCCACATGTGCTTTGTCAATAATTCAAGGAGATCCCTTCACATTTGCAAAAATTCAGTCAGACCCTTTACTTTTTCTGACACGCATTAATTTTACCCTTCTTTAAAGGTCAAAGGTGGTCTGACACACTTTTTGCTGACATTAACAAAAAAGTAAATTATAATGCCCAGATTGCCCTCTAGCAGTCATGTTGGCCTAGATACCATATACCAGATTGAATTTATCAATTTTCCCCTCATTGTCTCAAACCGTCGTGTTTGGCTAGGTTGTACATAATTTCAATAAATTTATTTTTGTACATATATTTGTACATGATTTGAATAATAATATAGATTCTCAATCCAGTTCTAATTCGTACTAATTTTCAAATAAGGTATATATTTTTTGTATATGTTTATTTTTGTACATAAATACTGAAACTCTTTTAACTCTTTGTACTTTTAAGACTAGTATTGATATATATCTTCACTCTCTTCGAAGATGGTTGTATTTGCAAGCTTCCTCTTTTTTTTTTTTTCCTTTTTTTTTTTTTTTGGATGTGTTTTTCAAATAAAGTATAGGAGGTATATAATTTTTTGCTGTGTTTTTCAAATAAATTATGGGAGGTATAAGTCAAAGGGTGGAGTTTTTTTGGGAGTTGTTGGCCACAACTATTGATCCACCAAAAGGATGAATGATCCCACCATGGAAAAGAACTTTTGGAGTGTATTCTTGAGGAATTTAAAACAGATGCTAAAGCGCAGGGAAGAAACCACAAATGAGAACGCCTAAAATAACACATATGAGAATACATATAGTCACTACAACAAAATAATGATATGGCGGCATTAGTTTAACAGCAAACAACTATTGATCCACCAAAGGATGAATGATCCCACCATGGAAAAGAACTTTTGGAGTGTATTCTTGAGGAATTTAAAACAGATGCTTAAGCGAAGGGAAGAAACCACAAATGAGAACGCCTAAAATAACGCATATGAGAATACATATAGTCACTACAACAAAATAATGATATGGTGGCATTAGTTTAACAGCAATTACTAAAAAATGTTGTTATTGAAATGTTTCTAGCAGCCCTTTTTAAGAGTGCCGCATGTGACCGTTGTAGTAAGCTTCAACAAATGGGTTTAGCTCATTTTTAATTTTTCAGTTCTAAACAATATTAAGATCTCACTTTGTTAACCCTAAAGGTCATTCAAAGATCGTCTAATAATTTTGATGATTACAAAACATTATGAAGTATTCTCGGTCTAATGTTTGCATTGAGCTTGCAGGGCAAAGGAAATAAAATATGCCAAACAACCGAGACAAAGAAATCATTTCAAGAGAAATCAAATCTACTCCGAGGTTAATGCAATCACGATTGACTTGAAGACAATGAGTAGATAGATCGGTGAGTGATTAGGAGTTTCTGTCAAAGTAATCTATGAATTAATTTGAAGCTCAAATCTATTGGCTCATGCATTTTCATTCACATCTTTCAAGATTCTGCACTCAAAAAGAAAAATCAAAAATCTCCTTAGAATCTCATAACCGGTTAAGAAGTTTTCATCTAACCGTTTAGATGAGCTAAAACAGAAAGCAATACATGATCGAAGGTATCTCATAACCGGTTAGGAAGTTTTCATCTAACCGTTTAGATGAGCTAAAACAGAAAGCAACACATGATCGAAGATATCTCATAACCGGTTAGGAATTTTCATCTAACCGTTTAGATGAACAAAACAGAAAGCTTGATCTTCTTATCCGCACCTTGTAACCGGTTATAAGAATTGTTCTAACCGTTTAGATCAACATACAAAACATTGTATCTATCTTCTCGTAACCGGTTAGGAGAACTCAAGTAACCGTTTACATGTACTTAAACAGAATACGATTTTTTCTTAACCAATGATGTAACCGGTTAGAAGAAGCTACATAACCGGTTAGATGTGCTTTAACAGAATGAAACTTTTCTTGGCCATTGATGTAACCGGTTAGAAGAAGTTATATAACCGGTTAAATATGCGTTAACAGAACGATACTTATCTTGGCCTTTGATGTAACCGGTTAGGAAGCCTCTTGTGTTCGAATAGTTGGCCCTTACTAAAGAAGTCCCTCTGTAGATGTAACCGGTTAGGAAAAATCCTCTAACCGGTTAGATGAGATCCAATCTCACTTCTTCTAATTTTTAGAAACTGAAGCAGATCTGAAGATTGATACATTTATTGCTCTAACGGTCACACAAACATTTAATGCTCTTCAACCTACCTCAACAGACATATTTTGAGCAATTAATGCATTTCATTTTTCCTCAACTATATAAAAAGACAAGCATTGAAGAAGGAAGGGGCGCGGTTGAGAGAATTCAAAAATATCATTCAAAGCATTTACTCAAGCATTCATTTCACTCAACCATACCAACTTAAGCTTCATTTTAATCCATCTATTACTCTAGTCTTGTGAGCTTACATTTGTACATCTATCTTGAGAGAGATTCATTCTTGTATCACAACTATAATTTCTTCTACAAACTTGTAAGGGTTAGTGTAACCCAAAGAAGCCTAGAAGAAGGGTGTTCTTCTAGCAAAGAAGAGAATCAAGTGTTTGCTTCATGTAAATGTTTGCTCTTCACCCGTAAGGAGAAACCATAGTGGATTGGGAAGTCTCAAGAGGGGTCTTGAGCCGAGGAGTGGGAGTTTCCGAACCTCGCTAAAATCTCCGAGTCATTTTTTGCAATTTCTCTACCCTTATCTCTTTTACAATTGTGCTATTAATTGTTTACTTTCATATCTTATATGTTGCATAATTGTTTGAATGGTAGAATAGAATTTGCAAATCTATAAATTACGAAAATTGGCCATTGACTCTATTCACCCCCCCTCTAGAGTCAATAAGTGGTTAATAATTGGTATCAGAGCCTAATCTCTAGTTAAAGATCTAACCATCTTAGAGAACGATCATAGCCAATTTTCATCAAGAAGGTCAATCTAACAATAGACCTCCTTGGTTTGATGGTAATGATTATAATTATTGGAAAATCAAAATGAGAGCATTTCTAAGAGGCTTAGATATTGATGCTTGGAAAGCCACTGAACTAGATGATCATATTCCGACCAAAACTGTTGAAGGGAAAATAATCCCCAAAACAGATGATGAGTGGACTCCAAATGAGCGTAGGCTTGTACAATGTAATGTTATGGCTATTACAAATCTTTATTGTGCTCTTAGTAAAGACGAATTCAATAGAATTTTGGATTGTGAGACGGCCAAAGAGATTTGGGATAAACTTGAAATTACGTATGTTGGCACTAGTCATGTCAAGGAATCTAAAATGAATATGCTTGTCCATAAATATGAACTATTTACCATGAATAATAAAGAAACAATAAGTGAAATGTACTCTCGTTTTACTAACATTGTCAATCCTTTGAAGGCTCTTGGAAAGTCATATACAACTTCTGAAAATATGAGAAAAATTCTCAGGTCCTTGCCCAAGAGTTGGGAAGCCAAGAAAACTGCTATTCAAGAAGCCAAAAATCTCAACACGCTTCCTATTGATGAACTCATTGGTTCCTTAATGGCATATGAGCTAGAGATGAATGATGGGGATGACGACAAAGAAGTCCATAAGAATGATCTAGCTCTTTCAGCCACTATGAAAGAAGTTAAAGTTGAGAAAGCTATTGATAATGAAGAAGAAGAAATTGCTCTCATCACCAAAACCGTGAGAAGAGTTCTTCAAATGAAGAAGTTTCAAAAGAGCAACAATCTCAAAAGAAGTGGTCTGACAAGTGAGCATGGAAAAAGAGAAGCACCTACTTGCTTTCATTGCGGAAAAACGGGGCACTTTAAATCAGATTGCTATGCATATAAAAATGAAAAGGAACGGAAAAAGAAAGCCCAAGCCTTGCGAGCTACATGGGAGGATGATGATTTAAATGGATCCGAAAGTGATGATGAAATCAATGAGTTGGTCAATCTTTGTCCCATGGCCAATGAAGATGAGGTAAATTCGAACCATGATTCACTTGATTTAGAAAATACTTATGATGAATTAGTAAATGCTCACAATTACTTGCTTGATGCTTTCAAAGAATTGCATGATGAATTAGGCAAGATGGTTCAAAAGTGTGCTAGTCTTAAAAGAGAAAAATACATTATTTCTCAAAAGCTTGAAAAATCTCTTTCTGAAAATGAAACTTTGAAAAAGGAAAAAGAATGTGAGCTTGCAAAAGAATTAGCTTCTATTGATTTGGCTTCTGAAAATGAGTCATTAAAGATCATAATTAAGGATCAAATCGAGACTCTAGGTAAGTTCACAAAAGGTAGAGAAAACTTAAATCTTATGCTTGGTAAACAAAGAAATGCTTATGCTAAGGATGGACTTGGTTATGACCCTTATAACAAAGAATCTTGTTTGATAAAAGAAAGAAAACCTTTAAGTGATCATTTTGTTAGAAATACATCTCAAAGTTCAACATGTAATTATTGCAAGAATATAGGACATAAAATTAATCATTGTCCCACTAGGCCATGCAAGACAAAAGAAATTTGGGTAATTAAAGGAACTTATGAGCTCCTTCGTAACTCCCATGGACCCAAGAAAAGATGGGCACCAAAAGAAGATTATCTAAATTATTTTTGTAGGGTTGCTTGAAGGCTTCCTCCTCATTCAAGGATAAGTGGTTTCTGGACAGTGGATGCTCTAGACACATGACGGGAGATCAATCAAATTTCATCTCTATCAAGCTCCACAAAGGAGGAAGCGTCACCTTTGGAGACAACTCAAAAGGCAAGGTTATTGGTATTGGATCTATCGGTATTTTTTCTTCCCTATCTATTGATGATGTGTTGCTTGTTAAAGGTTTAAAACATAATTTGCTTAGCATTAGTCAATTATGTAATAAAGGCTATGACGTACTATTTTAATCAGATAAGTGCATGGCGAAAAAGGATAATAATGATATATTTCATGCTCGTAGAAATGGAAATGTGTATACCTTACTTCTATGTGAATTATATGATCAAGATGTTAAATGCCTTGTGTCTTCAAATGAGAATAGTTGGTTGTGGCATAGAAGACTAGGTCACGCTAGCATGGATCTAATTTCAAAATTATCTAAACAAGAATTAGTCAAAGGCCTCCCAAAGACTAATTTCTCTAAGGATAAAACTTGCAGTGCATGTCTAAAGGGCAAACAAGTTAAGTCATCATTCAAAAGGAAAAAGGATATAACATCATCAAGACCTTTTGAACTAATTCATATGGATTTATTTGGTCCAGAAAGAGTAGCTAGCCTTGGTGGTAAACTATATGCTTTTGTTATTGTTGATGATTTTTCTAGATTCAGTTGGGTATTCTTTCTTTCTCATAAAAATGAAACTTATGCTATATTCTCAAAATTCTGTAAAAGAGTTGAGAACGAAAAGGAATACAAGATTAAGACCATCAGAAGTGACAGAGGAAGAGAGTTTGATAATCAAGATGTTGAAAGTTTTTGTGATGAAAATGGTTACAATCATAATCTATCGGCTCCTAGAATTCCTCAACAAAATGGAGTTGTTGAGAGAAAGAATAGATCTCTCCAAGAAATGGCTCGAACTATGTTGAATGAGCATTCATCTCCTAGATCTTTATGGGCCGAGGCCATTAATACTGCATGTTATGTCATTAATAGAGTCATCATTAGAAAACTTCTTAATAAAACTCCTTATGAACTTTGGAACAAAAGGAAGCCAAACATTGGTTATTTAAAAGTTTTTGGGTGTAAGTGTTTTGTACTAAATGACAGGGATAACCTAGGAAAATTTGAACCTAAGTCGGATGAAGGAATTTTCTTAGGTTACTCATCTCGAAGTAAAGCTTATAGAGTATTTAACAAAAGGACACGTGTGGTTGTCGAGTCCATACACGTTGTATTTGATGGATCACCCGTCTCTTTCTAGAGGTTCTTTGGATGATAATGAGGATATAGTGGAA